AGACCTCCGTCCTTGAAGCGCCACATCTGAGGGGAAATCCGAGCGACAAAGCGAGAAACTCATGACAGCTTCATGAACGACAGGGTGCGTGCTCTATAACTGAAGCAGCCGAACACACTAAAAGATCGAAAAGAATCAGAATAATTCAAAATGAAGGCAAAAGCAAACAAAACAGCAGACACGTGTGAGCAGTCGGAATTACAAACGCAAGACTGATGCCGAGGGGTGTAGAAGCAACTGCAACGATTGAATTACAGGATCTGCAACCAAATTTCGCTAAACATCCGAATTTTTTTTCTTTTGCTTTTGCACTGTGAACTGAAGCCCATACAGACATGAAATTTCAAACACACACGAAGTTTTTTGGTGTGCTGACTAGACAGGCGGCTGAAAAAACCAAAAAACCTTAACACACAAACTGTTTGCCTATCAGCCTTCAATTAAAATTCACATAAAAAGTGCCCAGCCGACAACCCTGTTGCACCGGGTCAAAGGTCAACACCTTCCCATCTTTTTTTGAAAATGCAGAAATCACTGTTTCTGAGATCAATGAACGGTACAGCAAGAAGGAAACCGCTCCAGAAACAATCATTCGCTTCCGCTAATTCCCTCCCGAGCGGTACTCGTGAAAAGCACCTCAGCTAGTACGAGTGGAGGATGGAGTGCATTTCTCAACTGCCAATCACTGGACCCAAGCAGTGGGCAGCACACGCCATGCAAGCCAGCAGCTGTGTCAAATTATCACTTGGAAAAGCACAGATCCGTTCGATGCGTGAAAGGGCAGACGAGAGCCTATCCCTCGCCTAACCAGCCGGACGCTCATCCGGTCGGTGGCTGCACGCCAATGCACGGATGGACCTGCCTGAGTGTTACTGCGGGTTCTGTACACAGCCACTGCGGCACAGTGCTGGTTGAAATAAATATGATAACCGGGAGAGGGCTGGCAGGGCCGGGAAGCTTGCGGGCTAGTTACCCGATCTGCGCCCGTCAATGTTTGTCAACTGCGCACATCCATCCCTCTTCCCTCCGAATCAACAACTCGGCACACCGTCCCATCCCCTCCCCTCCCCCCCACCTACCACAATGCAGCAATGTAAATGATGAACGTCCAAACAGCAAACACGCCGCCATTCTCATTTCGTGGATTCTTTTTCGCTTAAACATCCTCGAATCTCATCTGTTTACGGTAGCCGGCGAGCAGTCCATGACAGAGGATTAGCTGATCGGCATGCAGTCACCTGACTCACCCTACGTCACAGACATCTAACCTGTTCTTACGCGTTCACGTGCACTACCGATGGCTGCATATTATCTTCAGCGTAAAGCACGCCAGCGGAACACATCCCTGGATATGGTGCACCACCTTCTTTTAAGATAACTATCCCGCGCCATCGCTTTCTTCCTCGGTTGGCAGTTTTATCGCTCCCCTCAAATCTGCACAAATCATTTTCTTCCCAGAACTTGCCACCCAAGCGCGAACGCTCACCGTACTGATCTGAATCAGTCCGAGCAAAGCATCCGCAAAAAGCGCAAAGACAGAAACCACACCTGCATAATTACCGAGTGATATGCGACTACTAGGCTCGGGTGTTGGATGGACAAAGAATGTAAAGCTGAGACAGGACCGAAACCCACTAATCCTGTCCTTCCTTTCTCCTAAACTGGATGCTTAATATGCTTCGCACATCCTCCACACCTGGTCCCGGCACTCCCGCTTTTGTTTTCACTTGCGACTTAAAATGCAAATTCCGAGGTGGAAGAACATCGTTATCGAAGCAGCCATACCATAAATCACCACCCGGAGACACCTCGGATCCATGTGTGCG